GGAAAAAAAATCATGGTTTGACCTGAAGGACAAAAGAAGAAAGTCCCCTCACTCTGGCCTTAAATCCTTATCTATAAAATGAGGTGTATTTTCAACACTGAAAATTCTATGATCTATGACTCTAAGGGCAATTCTAATAGAAGAAATCTACAAATTGATTAGTGAAATAGAGATATTGTCAGTCATGTGCCTTCTACCTCTTTCATTTAGCCTACAAATATTTTCTGACTACCTGCTCTGTGTCAAGTACTATCCTGACTGCCAAATATGCAGAGGCATATAAATAAGAAAGTACCATCTAATAGTTAATAGGCTAGTGAGAAATATGCATGGAATAGAAGTCATTGCAAAGTGATATGATTAGTGACCAGGTGCTAAAGAGCTATAAAAAGTATTGTGGAAGCCCAAAGGAAGGAGTAAATAATTCATTTTGGAGCGATCAGAGGCATCACAGAAGAAGTCCCATTTACCTGGGTCCTGAAGAATTAGTAAAAGTTCATCTAGTGGAAATGTCTAGTGGTCATTCCAGGATGTGCAAAGGCAAGAAGATATAACAGAATATGGTCACATTCAAAGAAGGACTTCAAAATGGTTGGAATATGGGATGCATGGTGGAAAGGAATAGGAAAAATGTCCAGTAAGACAGGCTGACAACGGATTGGAAAGGATTTCAAATGCAATTCAAAGTAGTTTGGATTTTTATCCTCGGGGAAATAGCAAATTATTGAAGGAATTTAACCAAGGGAGTAACATGATCTGAATTTCCCTAAGAAAAAATCTTTAGTGGCCTTAAGAAGGATGAGTCGTCCAGAAGGTTGTACATATGTTTATGCTCCTGTCATTCGTATTTACGTGTGCTTAACTGCCCTTTTCTTATCTTGTCCTTGGTGCTCTGCTGGACATGTGGTGCTGACTGGTGCTGACCAGCTCCTTTCTACCTCCACATTCTTTCATGTCTCTGTTTTCAGTCTCTCCAACTGCCACTGATAAATGCTGTTGAAAGAAGGTAAATGAAGAGAGAGGGTGAGGAAAAGAAGAAAGAATATGAATAATCACAAAAGAAATATCTAGGAGGAAGGAGAGAGATGTTGTATGAATAAAAGAAACAATGGCTATGTGTATTGAGTACATACTATGTGCCATGTTCATTATTGATGCTCCACAGGATCTCATTAAATCCCAACTCCACAATATCTACTGATTCATCCCTGTTTTCAGATAAGCTAAATGAAGCTTAGAGTAACTTGTTTATAATGCTAGTAAATACTAGAAAAGACTTGAACCTACCCTGTCTGACTTTAAATCCCATGCTTTCAATTTTTACACTCTATTCCAGTGATATAACTTACTGAATACTAATAATGTGCCAAGAACTATGCTAGCTGCTTTACATGGGTTAGTTTAAGATCCACAATAACCTAAAAAAAGTAAATAACATTGTCCCCATTTTACAGTAGAGAAAACTGAGGCTCTGGGAAATTAAGTAACTTACCTAAGGTCACAAAACCAGTAAGAGGCAGCACCAGAGCTTTAACTCTGGCCTGTCTGACTGTACCTTTCCTATGACATTATGATGTGCATATTATATTCTCATTCTTTTCCCTACTCCTTCCCCCCTCACAACACCCTTCCCCATCTCTACATATCCAGAATCTACCTTCAAGGCTCAGCTAGTATCTTATTACCTCCAGAAGCCTTTCAGGAACATATCAGCCCACTGTTGCCTTCCTATTGCAATGATTTGCATAACATTCATTTACCTTGGTCAAGACAAATTTGCATTTGTCAGTTCCCTGTTCTGTTTATGTTCTATGTCCCCAGTCAGTCAATCCATGTAAGTGCCCTATAGCAGGTTCCTCGGGCAGTTTGTACCATCCAAATATACCTTACATCACTCTCAACTAAGTCTCTAGAGGAGGACAAGAATCGTGCCATACAATTTGTATTCCCCAAGATAATTGGCAGAATCCTAAAAACATATTAGGACTTAATAATGTATTGATTGGGTCCAGCATACTTTAATAATAGGAAGTTTTCAGTTGACAGCTAACACTACACATACACACACACACACACACACACATAGATTCTCCTAACAACCAATGATGTAGTACCATTGTTATACCCATTTTAAGAGGAAACTGAGGAATAAAATAGTTAAATGCCTTGTCCAAGGCCACATAGCTAGTAAGTGGCAGTCAGGATCCAAACCCATTCAGTCTCATTCCAGAGTCAGCATTCCCTTGACTACTTTACAATACTACCTGCATTTTTGATAGATGTTGTTCTAAGAATAAACAACTCTCACACCTTAAAAAATTAAAAACTCACATATTATTGCTGCTTTAAACACTGTCTTGGAGGAGGCTGTAGAAAGAAGAGTCTGTCTGCATTTAGTAGAAAACCTGAGCAGCAGATACAAAGCTATTGGGAAAACAAGAAAGTTGAGAAGTATTTCTCTTAAAAAAAAAAAAAATAGAGTGTGCCATTTTCGCACAAA